GTTGGTTGGTTGGTTGGTTGGTTGGTTGGTTGGTTGGTTGGTTGGTTGGTTGGTTGGTTGGTTTTTCGATACAGGTTTTCTCTGGGTAGCCTTGGCTGTCCTGGACTCACTTTGCAGACCAGGCTGGCTTCAGACTCGCAGAGTTCCACCTGCCTCTGCCTCCCTGAGTGTTGGGATCACACACCTGATGATCTTGAGGTCTTGACATGTGTTTTCCAGCACAGGGGTTTGTCATCTGCCAGCTTAGCAGCTGCACGTTAGTTCAGAGAGCGTCGAAGGCTGCCTTCTACTCAGTGTGGCTCCTGCCTAGAGCTTTCGAAATCAAGAGCCTTGGGCTTTCCCGCACATGGAGGCAATCAGTCTGCCTTTCAACAAGGCCCCAGGTACACCTGGGGCACAGGGTTAGCTTGAGGAGCACCCAGCACTGGTGGTGTGAGAGGCAGGGAGTGAAAAGACCTACCCAGGATGCTGAGACCCTTCCCCAGAAGGGCCTCAGTGAGGCATACTGCCAACCAATGACAGCAAGTAGTGATAGCCTTCCATGACCCTCCCCAAGACAAGCAGCTTAGAGGGGCTGCTGAGGACAGGGGCTCTGAAGAAACTGACCCCAGGCCTGCAGCGGTGGGTTCCGCTTGGCCCTTATGGATCCCAAGCCCCTAACAAAGCCACACCCCAAGGAGGGGCTTCTGCCCGCCACAAGAATTAAGACATGCCTCATCAGGCCAGAAGCCTCCAAAATTGCAAGCTCTTGGGGCGGGTGGCCTTGGTCTGTTCTCTTCCCTCAGACTTGGATCCGTAACCAGAAACATGCCCTTAGGGCCCCCTAATGAATAGCTCAAGAGCCCATCCTTGCAGAGGTAGACTCTCCTTCCGCCCGCCCCTCGGGGCTGAAGCAATACAGCTGAAGCACAGAGAAGAAAACTAAATTGGGATCTGCTGGGCCAGGAGTGTGGGGCACCTTGCTGGGTTTGGTAAGGATCAGGGCTCCAGGCACTATGGGGCTGAGTTTGGAAGCGCAGTTGTGGGTGGGAGTTGGGGCTTAAGCATCTACGGGAGAGGAAACTGGGACTTTAGATGAAAGGGAGACAGAGGGATGAGGTCAGGGTCGCCTTGGGGTTAGAGGGAGTACAGGAGAGAGAAGCAATGTACGTTAGAGGGCCAGGGGTGAATGAACATGGCGCCCTTTGGAAGAGGAGAGGAAACTTAAGAAGAGGCTGGGTGAGGAGTACCATAACTGCCTTGGCTCATGCTGACCGGGCTTTGAGACCTTGAATTTAAAGGATCAGAAAGGAAGATTTGATGCTAATCCTCTCTCTCTGTCCCCCTGCTGCCCCAGCCATGGAAGGACAGAGTAGAGGGAGCAGAGGCCTTCTGGAGAAGTCCCTCCCTGCCACCCCCAGTCCCACTCTGTCCTCGCTGGGTGCCGTGTTCATTCTCCTGAAGTCTGCCCTGGGCGCCGGCCTGCTCAACTTCCCCTGGGCCTTCTACAGGGCAGGAGGCATGGTGCCCACCTTCCTGGTGGCACTGGTAAGTCACGGAGGTTGTCTCGGGGCAGGTGGAAGATGGCTCTGCCTCTTCCGGGTGGGCTCCTCAGTATCGCTTCTGCAAAGCTGGCTGTCTTGTGTGTGGTAGCTGGGATCTTGTTCTCCAGCCTCTGTGCCTGGGAGACATGTCCCACTCCAAGTGGGTCACGTGAAAGTATTGTCCCACCGAGTCTCCATGGGCTCTTAGGGTTAAGATGAGATCCGTCTCTCCCCGAAGTGTTAGAAGGAAAAAGGCACCAGCCACAGGACCAGAACAATCCGGGATGCGGGACTGTCCAGGGGTGGGGTGGGGCTGTGTGCTGAGGGGCTCAGCTTGCACATTCTGGGCCCGCACAGGTGCTTCCAGGTGAGTTTAGCCCATGAGGGAGGGGTGGACCGGACACTGAGCTCTCAACAGTGAGCACACAGAGCATCTTGGGAAGTTGCAGCCATGCCTGCAGCCCTGCAGCGGACTGAGATGACTGCAGTGTGTCTGGGCAGTGCAGACAGGAGCCTGTTTGTGGGATCTGGGGTGGAGTGTGGGTTTGGGGCAGTATTCTAAATCACGTATGTGTGAAAATTGTTCACTATAAATGATGGGGAGAGCCCTGGAAGGCAGTAAGAGCCCCTACTGCCACATAGAAACCACAAACCCCACCCTTTCCACACAGCACTCATCCTGAGGCTGCACCTAAATGCATCAGGCCCCAGCACCCCTGAGAGTTGGTTGGGTGAATGGGACCGTCATCATTTCACAGGTCAAACGGCAGGGTCAGAGAACCTGCTTTCCACAACACAGGCTTTGTGAGGTTTCATCTGTCCCGCAGGGCAAAGCTGTCCTATTCCCGGCCTCAGAGCGGCTGTGGGCACCCACCTCCCTCCTGAAGCTCTTGGGCAGGGCTCTGCCAGAAACCTAAGCCTTGCGCAGCTCTTTGCAGAGGCTTTATGGAGGGCACACTTGGGCCAGGTGGCCTGTGAGTGATGCCTCGAATGTGCAGGCCCACCATCATCCCCTCTGTAGGTCTCTCTGGTCTTCCTGGTCAGCGGACTGGTCGTCCTGGGGTATGCAGCCTCTGTCAGTGGCCAGACCACCTACCAGGGTGTGGTCCGTGAGCTGTGTGGAGCTGCCATGGGGAAGCTGTGTGAGGCCTGCTTCCTGACCAACCTGCTCATGATCTCCGTGGCCTTCCTCAGGGTGATCGGGGACCAGCTGGAGAAGTGTGAGTCCCTTCCCTGGCATTGGGCTAACCCAGGGTACAGGCCCTGTCATGACTCTTGGGCTCCCAGTTGATGAGCAGGACAGTGGATAGTTGATGGGCCTAAAGAGGGACAGTAGAGGCAAGGGCTTGTCTGAGGACCCAACACAGATAGGAAGGGAGCAGTCCTGAGGGCTTGAGAGGGACAAAGGCTGAAGGTGCAATGGCTCATGGAGACAGCCCCTTTCACAGATGGCAAAACTAAGCCAACCGCAGAAAGGAACCTCCTGAGAGCGTCCCGGCAGCACCTTTCCTTTGGGCACCACAAAAACACGCATGATCACGGCCTCTGGTCCTCTACTGAGGCTTCTTCTCTAGGCTGTCTGCGCCTGGCTCACTTTCCCACCTTCTGTTTGCACCAGGTGTGGGCTCTGTTCACTTGGCTCCAGCCCCAGTCCATCTTTTCTGAGTTTTTAAATGTCCTGGTGAAGCTACTGTGATCTAAGAACTGGGTGTTGACGCCTCCAGCTGTGACTTCCGGCCTTGCTGCTTCACCCTTTAATTCCAGCCTCCTCCGCTCCACCGCTTTTGAAGCTCCATGATTAGGCACATCCTTTATTAATATGAAATATTCTGCTTTATCTCTGGCATGAAGCCTCCCTCTCTGTGAATAGACTCACCAGCTTCCTGCCCATCAGCGTCCATGGCTATCGCAACCATTCATCCCTGAAGCCTGCCACGGCTTGGCGATTGTCAATACATTCCTCATAGACAGCATATGGCTGAGTCGTGTGCATTTTTTTCTTTTTAATTATCTCGACAACCTCGGACTTTTAATAGAAATCTTTAGGCTTAATTGGTATATAGATGTTGCTAAGGTTAGATTACAGCCTACTGTGTTGCAGTTTGTGTCTTTCCTGCCCTTGCATGAAGGGACCTCTTCCACCCCCATCCCCCGGCTTGGGATTGTAGAACCTCTGACACTGTCCGATGCCAAAGAATATGGAGGATGGAGTACCTAGCCCTCCCAGTGAGGAAATGGTCACACACTGGCAGTGGCAAGGAGAACCCCCTCCCATGCCTTAGATCCAGGCTGGGCGGAGAAGCCAGAGTCTCAGGGATAGAGCCCTGTGGCCAGAAATGAGCCACCGCAGACCTCGGACTGAGAGGGGAGAGAGCAGCTCTTTCTGGTCTATCACTGGGGTATATCTGCCCTTGACATCCTGCACGCTTGGAAAGAAGAGTGCTACAAAGAGCCTGAGTGCTTAGGGACAATCACTGTATGAGTTAGACCCCATCGCCAGCGGCGCGGAGGACTTCGTGGGCTGTTTAGGCGGTTCAGGATTGTGAAGGAGGTGGCGTTGTAACTGACGTGAGGGCTGGTGTTTCCTGGCTGCAGGTAACTGGTGCCTGCAGGGTTTGCACCCTGCGAAGTGTAGCGTTCTAAAACCCGCCTGAGATCTGAATGTGCCTCTCACCACCTGCCTTCTCTTGGTGGCACGGGAGTGACTCTAACCTCTGCAGGGTGAGCTGGCTGTGGGACCCTTCCTCACCTCGCCAGCTGGGGGAGCTGTGCTCACAAGGCAATTATTTCTATGGGAGGCTACCTTTGAGGAGCTCTGAGAAGGGCTTACTCACACAGTGCCAGCCACCCTGCCATGACCCTCTCTCAGCCTCGCCTCTGTCCAGTGGTCCCTTGCTTTCCTCCCCCACCTGCCCTCCCTCTTAGACAACATTGGCCGTCTGGCTGGTTTCCACGGTTCTTTCACTGAGAGGTTGTCTGTGTCCCTTGCTCTTAAGTGAGGTGTGTCCGCTGTGGCTTTGTCCTGCAGCGTGTGGCACAAGAGATCTCACGGCAGGTCTCCATGTGGCTTTTAGGAGGCTGGGCAGCTTCCGGCTTAGAAAGGTCCTGGCTGCCATGGTCAAAGTTGAGCCAGCAGAAGGGCCCATGAGGAGAGACAGAGGCTGAGGGTCAGCCCCCAAGGATCCTAACCCCCCTTGGTGGAAAGAAGGGCCAGCCCAGCTTCCCCTAACATTTACCCTCCAATTTACAATGTGGGCATGATTCACAGGCCTCAGCCACCCAGCTTTGGAGCAGGCAGTTACTGAGCAGCTGAGCTGTGGCAAGCACCAAGGGGCTCACTCTTTCCAGAAGTGGTCCTATTTGACCTCAGCTAGCCACTGGGTTTCTTCTGAGCCAAGCCAAAGGAACCTTGGTCAGCTCTCAGTACCACAAAGGCAGAGAAGGAAAGCTCACTGTATGTTTGTTGAGTGACTTCATGAAATATGGGGTTTCTTCCTTCACAAGGGCATGGGATGGGTCCCATTCCATTTCCGATCCCTTCACTCTCAGGATGACTTAACCACCGGCCCGTGTGTCTGTGCCCTGTGGTACCGTGGGCTCCAGGCCTAACTCCTATCCCCGTCTCTGACAGTGTGTGACTCCCTCCTGCCTGACGTCCCACAGCCCTGGTACGCAGCCCAGCACTTCACCCTGCCCCTGATCTCCGTGCTGCTCATCTTTCCCCTGTCAGCACTGAGGGAAATCGCCTTCCAGAAGTACACCAGGTATGGGGCCCTTGGCAGTTTCTGGGCAGGGCAGCTGTGTGACAGGGCCCAACTTTGGGCAGTACTGTTTCAGGAGAGATAAAGGAAGGGCAGGTTTGTTTCCGTTTGAGAAGAAAACTGGAAGTTTTACAGGTTCTCTGATCCCACAGTAGAAAATAGAAATAAGTCAAGAGATACCAACAGCAGGTCTTAAAACAATAATCATAGCTGGACGTGGTGGCACACACCTTTAATCCCAGCACTTGGGAGACAGAGGCCAAGTAGATCTCCGTGAGTTTGAGGCCAGCCTGGTCTATAGAGTGAGCTCAGGACATCCAGGGCTATACAGGGAAACCCTGTCTTGAAAAGAAAAAGAAAAAAGGAAGGAAGGAAGGAAGGAAGGAAGGAAGGAAGGAAGGAAGGAAGGAAGGAAGGAAAGAGGGAAGAAAAGAAGGAAGGAAAGAAGGGATGTGCGCATTGACCACCACATTGAGAAAAGAAGCATCTGTTACCAAGGCTGGGGAGCAGGACTAATCAATGGGTATAGACAAAGCCTCAGGCTTTGGACCAGTTTTACAATACCAGGCATGGATTCTCTCCTGTGGAGCAGGCCTCAGGTCCAGTCAGATAGCTTCTGGTTACCCTACCAGTCATTCTATGACCACCCAGCAGGTTGGTCATGTAGCATGCAGTGCCCAGAGCTGGGTAAGACCATTGACATCTTTCTTCCTGCAACAGCCTGCATGGCACCTACCACCACCGTGAAAGCGGTGAAAGCTGGTCATCAGGGAGGAAGTGTCCCAGTCGGCTGGAGATTGATTTCTCTATGTCCTGAGACCGAAGTGGATAGCCTCTTCAGATAGGGTCTTGCTATCTAGCTCTGGTGGACAACCAAACTCGTGGCAACAGCCTGTGGTTTTTTATGGGCAGAGTGACCTTGCTGACCAGTAACTCATACCAGAGGTATCCCATGCTGGGCACTGAGATTTTTGTTGCGTAACCCATGTCTTCAGAAGCAGTATTGTTCACTCATGTAGGGCTCTGCTATTCTTTTTTTCTTTTCTTTCTTTTTTTTTTTCTTTCTTTCTTTCTTTTTTTTTTTTTTTTTGAGATAGGGTCTTACTATGTAGTTCTGTCTGATTTTGAACTCACAGAGATCCACCTTCTTCTTCCTCCTGAATGCTGAGATTAAAGGCACATCTAACTTAAGCTACTTTTTAAAAGAATTAAAAAAAAAAAATAGCTTACAGAGTAGTCTTTTCCATAAGGATTTTTCATATGTCCTTGGTTTTGGCTAGACCCACCCTATAGCTTTTCTTTCCTCCACTCTTACCCCCATTTATGCTTTAACCTTTGACCTCAGTATCACTCCCCCACACACATACACATTTTAATATCTCATATGTTCTACCACTGCCTTCTCCATTAAGGCTTCTGGGACTCATGAGAGAACAGTAGAGTTTGGCTGGCTGGGTCGGTCTGAGCCTCTTCCCTTAGTAGATGTTCCAGTTCCATCCATTTTTCTGCACATTCCTTCATTTTGCTGTTCTCCTCAGCTGACTAAAATGCCACTGTAACAGCACATGTCATTTAACCGTGGCAGGCTTCCCACACGCACAGCCTCACCGGCTAGACAGTTAGATGGAAATTTTTTTCCCCACCTTTAAGCTTTCAAGATGGTGTTGAAAAACCAAGCTAATGACAGACAGACTTGGTCCAAGTTCAAGTTCATTGCTGGCCTTTTCCCTTGTGTGTGACTAGCAATGTACTTGGTAACCCTGGGAGCAAAGACCTCAGAGCCCAGTCCCTCTGCACCTGCAGACTACAAGGCTCCTGTGGCCTCAAAGCCACACCAGGCTCTTCTTCCCCTCCTCTGGGGCCAAGCCTGAGGCTGTATTGTCTTAGATGTCAAACTTCAGCAGCTGCCTGGCACTTACTGGTGAGAGGAGAGGTGTCCCAGTTGCTCTCCCCGAGGATGCTGGGCCACCTGGTACCCATACTGACCTCTGGACCCGGGCAGCACTGCCCAGCCACCCCCTGGTGCTCCTCATATGGAGAGGGAATGGTGGTTCGGGAGGAGAGCTTCCTTGCTCCGCTAGCAGCATCCCAGGGCAGAGCTGGGATGCGCCTGTAGGTACTGGCTGTGTGTCTCTGGTGCAGGATCTCTGACTCTGTCCTGTGTACGCCAGCATCCTAGGTACCCTGGCTGCTTGCTACCTTGCCCTGGTCGTCACGGTGCAGTACTACCTACAGCCTCAGGGCCTCGTGCGCCAGCCTCGTCCTCTGCAGAGGTGAGTCCGGGGAAACAGTTTTTCCTGTTTCCTGGGTGGGAACAGGATGTTTGAAAGGGGATCCTCTGGGGCTGCAGAACCCTGGCTCTTTCCTGTGAGATCCCTCCTGTCTCTGAAGTGTGATAGAGCCAGGGAACTTTCTCCTTCAGAAAACAAACAAACAACAACAAAAGACACCAAAGGCCACAGCAGCCTGGGGCTCCTGGGCCAAAATCAAACACACCCTCCATGTGGAGGCTGTGGGACCTGGCAGATGCCCAGTCTTAGGGAACAGTGAACAGTGAGGCTGTTGAGCAGCCAAGACTAGGGCTGAAAGTAAGGTAGGGTGTCATTTAGGGACTCAAAGCTATGATGAAGACTTTTTTTTTTTTTTTTTTCTGCCGTGGGTGAACTGGGGCACCCTTGGTGTTCTGAGCACAGCAGGGATGAAACATGGCTCGTTCCTGAAAAGGATTGCCAGGTGGGCTGTAGGAGTCAGGTGCCATGCAGGATGTCCCAGCCCAGGCCTGATGCCTCTGGTCGGGGAGCCTCCCAGGCAGGGGAGCATTCCAGAGAGGGGACCATCCCAGGCAGGTGATATGATGTGGTCAGATGCTGGGTGTGTGGACGTCTGCTTCTTGGTACAGGGCCAGCCCACGGGCATGTAACTCTGTAGTCTCCACTCTTAGAATTTTCGGTCATGATTGAAACAGGGGCCATCCTGTACAGGGACCCACAATGATACGGTTGGCCTGGCCAGGGGCTACAAGTGGCAAGGAAACAGGAGTCAGAGGATGTGTGTCTCAGACAGAGAAGCCTGAGGGCCAGGGCATGGTAGAAGTGGCTTGGAGACATTTGCTAGATGTCCACTTGTCTGGTCAGCTGTGTGTGCCTGCAGTTTGGGGGAGCCTAGCTACGGGCAGCAGAGCTGTGGTGATGTGTGGAGGACAGTGTGGGAGGCTCTAGGTGCGGATGTCTTTGCTGCTGGTCTGTGGAGCCGCGGTATGGAAGCGGGAGTTGGAGGAGTTAAAAGAACCTGGGTGGGTTTTTAAGACAAGTGGGTTTTCAAGGGGCTGCTGTGACAAGTCCCTATAAACCAAACATCCAGGAATGTTTCCCTCAGAACTCCAGGAATGTGTCTTCCCTCAAAGTGCTGGGGTCAGAGATCACTCATGTTCAATCAGACCATGGCATGGGTGGGGTCCATTCCTTCTGGAGTCTCTGGGAAAGCCTCTTACTTTCCCTGCGTTTAGCTGGTTCTCACAGTCCTCCAACAGTGGCCCTTCCTCCTCTGAAGCCAGATATGTGGTAGTGTGGTCTGGTCATGGCTTCCCTATCACAGCTGGGCAGGGGTTTCGGTTGTGCCCTGTGGTCTCCTACGGCACACTGGGCTCACCTCCATGACCCAAGACACTGCTCATTCTTGGAAACTATCAGGGCAGGGATGTCTTGGAGGCTGTTAACTTCCACAGCTGAAAATGCTGACCGCAGGGGCCGCTGTTCATGCTACTCTGTGCTGTGTATTCCTGTGGGTGTCAGAGACTGTCATGAAGAGCTGCTTGGCAAAGCAAACGTGGCCCACTAATAGGAGCCGGGAGAGGGAGACTTGTGCCTGATATGGACATGGGACCACCAACATTGCATTTGGGGGGGAATGTGTTAGACAGTGGTTGCCTGTGCCCTAGCACCCCACAACATTGGGGATGGGCAGCCTCTAGAGGGAAGATAGGGCTTCTGTCTTGCCACCGCCTTGCCCAAACCCCACCCACACAGGCAGTGTCATGTCACCAAATGTCCACAAAGATGTATTTAGAACGTGCAGCACTGAACAAGCTTCCTTTTGGCCCCGGAGCATGTGCACAGACTCAGCTGTTCAAAACACATCTTGCAGAGACACCCTCCATCACATTTCTCTGACTTCATTTAAGACAAATACTCTCAGGTTGAAGGTTGTTTCTAACTCCTTAATGAACACCTGTCCCTGTCTATTCACAGCCCGCCTCCCTGGACCTCTGTGTTTATCGTCTTCCCTACCATCTGCTTTGGCTTTCAGGTAGGTTTAGAATGTGACATTTTCAGGCTTCTGAGCTCTCTGGAGTGCACAGCTCCCCCCCACACACACACACACACAACCCCCTTCTCCCCCAGGAGAAGTCTGAGTGCTTGTTCTCTCAGTGCTCAGCTGTGCTAAGGGCTGTCTTCCAGAGGCTGGCTGTGACATCTGGGCCACCTAGAGGGGATGTGGGCTGTCGCTGAGTTTCTCCCCTCCACCCCCACTGTCAGCAGTACCATGTTGGTGGGGTGTGGAATCCAGAGAAGGGGTGGACACCTGGGACATGCCTCTCTGAAGAGTGATCATAGAACTGCCAGCAGGCCTGGGGATAGAGCCACCCACATACTGCTTGCAGAATGGGTGGATTCTGCCCTCGGCCTTGCAGAAGAAAGATCAAACCTCTTGAAGTTTTACTGCCTGGAGGGTATAGGGAGAAGACGGGAGGCCAAGTGACGGGACTGGGGACCAGATAGGCAGAAATGCCAGTAGAACGTTAGTTACTAGAGCAAAGCCACCATTCTCTGTCCCAGCAGAGGGTGAGTGAGTGACAGACAGCCAAAGGGATCTGGTGGGGTAGCCTTGTGCCTCCTCCCCTGACCCTCCAGTTTTGTTCTTCAGCTTCCATTTTCTTTCAGAACTGTTTTTGATAAGCTCTGACAACACTGCCATTTCTCAGCCCTGTAATTGCCTCACTGTCACTTCCGAAGCTCTGTGAGTGGCTAGTGAGACACTCTTTCACCTGATATTTTGAAAGCAACATGGGGCTGATTTTGCTCTGGGTTGTCTTCCTGGGTGTGGTCAACATGGAGTCGCCTGTGCCAGCCCACTTCCGAATGCTCACAGCCCTCATCTTGACCTCAGCTCCCTCCTTAGTTCTCCTAGCAACCAAGCTGTGGTTTCCAGGGTTTCCAGGGCTGTTGTGATTAGGGAGCATGGGAAGGACAGGATGTGAGTATGGGAGTGGGGGTGAGGCTCAGGCCAGGGGTGGATGAAGGATCTGGAGAGTCAGGAGTCTGAGGAGATTCACGAAGATGGAGATGGTGGAGCTTGGCAGCTTGGGCTGCAAGGAAGGAAAGCCAGCAAGGCTTATGGCTATCAGGACTTCTGACAGGATTCAAATACCAACTCTCCTCAAGCACATTTAGAAATAGGGCACCCCCCTATCCCAGCTTGCACTGGATCAGCCAAGGGCCTAGGAGAGCAGGGAGCTGTAGACTGTGTCTCCAGCCACCCTGGCCACCCCTGGTTTTGTTTTAAGCAGACTCGCTGAGGGTCAGTTCACCTCATACAACTACCCTTCTGTGGCTATGTGGCTATGTTCAGAGCTGCACCTTGTGGCCACTAGCAACTTGAATAGTGGCTCCTGCTCCTCCTCTTCCTCTTTCTCCCAGGCCTTTCTCCCATGGCTCTGCTGTCTGTAAATCTTCCTGCCGTTGGTGGTCTGTGGGCCTATATAAAGCGTCCATCTTTCAGCTGGGCCTTGGGTATCATCTGGTACCTCATTCCTTTTTTTTTTTGTTTGTTTTTGTTTGTTTGGTTGGTTTTGGTTTTCAACACTGGGTTTCTCTGTGTAGCCCTGGCTGTCCTGGAGCTCACTCTGTAGACCAGGCTGGCCTCAGAGATCTACCTGCCTCTGCCTCTTGAGTGCTGTGTTTGAAGGTGTGTGTCACCTTTTTAAAGCCATGTGACAGTCAGTTGTGTGGACTGAAGCTGTCACACTTTTTGGCTCATGTCAACCCTCCGCTGTGCCTTGACTAAGGACTGGGTGCCTGACTGCAGTGCTGTCTTCAAATAGGCGCATACGGCAGGCAGGCTCCTGGATATGCCTGCGCCCCGAGCAGCTCCACTCTGTGGTGGGGGAGGCTTGGCTGCATTGCTGTCTTCACAGCTGAGAGGCTCTGGGTTCCCCAAATGTGGCATTGCCTATGGTTCCCCAAAGCAGAACCCGTGACAGGGCAAGATGCTCATGTCCCTTCAGGAGCCACAGGGGGCTGTAAGAGGCCCTGCAGGATCCTTTCACTGTCCTGACAGGTACGCAGGGCACACACAAAGTGCTGCTGGACAGAGAAGGGAGGGCTTACCCTGAGATCCAAGGGTCTGGCATAGTCGCCACTGCCTGCCTGAGCTTGCCACTAGCCTAGGGCCTCCTGACCATCAGAGAAGCCCAGGGCAGACTGTGAGGGTATACCACTGCCCCAGGTGTGTGGGCTACGGTTAGTGTGTCGGTGGGGTCTGTGGGTTGGGCCAGGAAGAGTAAGGCCTATGTGCCTCACCACTGGCCCTGTGCTCCAGGGTTCCTGGGAGCACTGTGGCTCCTCCACCTCATACCAACTAGGAACCAAGCACAGGCTAAAGGAGGGATGGTGGAGCTGCAGACTCTCTTTTGTTGGCCTTAAGCTACCGGTGGAGTCAAGAGACAGCATGTGTTACCTAGCATGGTTCTGAGCTGGGGATGGTGAGAGAGAGGCTGAACAGACAGGCCGGGAAAACTCACAGCAGGAACTGGGGCCAGTGGGAACAAAGAGCTGTATTTAGGATGAGGGCAAGGGTGTGACTGTGGTGGATAATAGGGTTGCATCCTGATGAACATCTCTTACCCTGTGGGCTCCTTAGGGTCCCTCGCTGCTTGTATGCTACCATGGCTGTGGCTGCAACCCAGGTGAGGCGAGCCAAATTACATGTCTTACACAGAGAATTGCCGCCATGATATAGCATATCACCTTAAGAATTTTTTTTTACTTGCTTGTTTCGTTTGCGTATGTGTGCCCATATGTGACAGCGAATGTGTGGAGGTCAAAGGGAAATTTGCAGGAGTCAGTTCTGTCCTTCCACCTCGCAGGCTCTAGGAGTCAAACTCAAGGCATCAGACTTGAGTTTGTCACACCTTGGTGGCAGGCTCCTTCACCTGCTGAGCCGTCTTGTTGGCTCAGAATTTGCTTCTTCTTCTTCTTTTTTTTTAAGTGTAAATCGTAAGTGTGGGTGTTCCCCCATGACCTCCCCAGAGGGTCTCCAACACCTACCTTCTTCATCGGTAGCATCCACTCCACCTGAACTGTTGTCCAGAGTTACTACACATGTGGGGTCCCAGCTGCTTGATGGTGCCCCAGAAGCGCCTGATGGCCTCTGGGGATATTTGGAGTTTTAAACATACATGGGAGTCCAGCAGTCTAGGCAGGGAATGCTGCTCGAAGCTCTTCTCTGAAACACGGGACAGCCCTCATGGCAGGAACTATCCCCTCCCCGTGTGCAGACAGCATCCTTGGGACCTTTAGACCACTGGACGCTGAGGCGGGAGTCAAGGTCACTCCTGAGAGCTGCCGGGTGTCCTGACATTTGCCGGTGGACAAATGTCCAGGTGCTTCCCCACATCAGGGTGCAGGACCTCTCCAGCCATCCCTGGAGGCTCTGAGCTGCAGGTTCTGTCTTCCAGTGCCACGAGGCCGCCGTGTCCATCTACTGCAGCATGCAGAACCAGAGCCTCTCGCACTGGGCCCTGGTCTCTGTGTTGTCCTTGCTGGCCTGCTGCCTGGTCTACTCCCTGACAGGTAGGGCCTGAGGGGTTCCCTAGAGGGGAGGGAGTGGCCATGGAAAGGGGTAAAGACAAGGTTCCTTAGAAGGACATCCAGAGCTAGGTGGGATGGCTACAGATAGGGAAACTGAGGCTTCGAGGGGTTCCACAGTCCCACAGTTAGATAAGCAAAGCTGAGACCCGAACTACATTCTGAATGGCCCCAAAGGCCCTGTGCTCACTTGTGGTGCCTCCCCTGCTAGTCTGGGGTGTGGTTGTATCTCAGAGTGGCCATGAGAGGCCCGAGGTCACAGCATGTACATATACAGGCTGGGCCTCATACGGGTGACTTTGAGTGGCTACTGTCTGGTGGCCCTTCCTGCTCTCATCTGCTGGAGCCTCTGACTGGGAAGGCTTTAAGCCACAGTGAATCTGCTGTGCAGCCTTGGACTCATACTGTCACCTGAGGGACTGGCCAGGGACCTTTGCTGCAGACAGCGGATCTGTCACTCTGCAGCCCCAGGCTCTGAAGGCTGCGACGGTATTATCTCCTCCAGTGTCCCTAGTGTTGGGGTTAGTAGAATCACAGGATCACCTAGTTAGGCTCCAAGAGATAGCTGTGTGTTTAAGCCAGAGGTAACGTCCCAGGCCAGGCCAAGGGACCAGGGTGGCAAGAAGTTGTGTAGTCCTGTGGGAAGGAGCTAGCTCTCCTCTCCTGTGAGCTGTGTGGCCGTGAGGGATCAGGGATGGTCTCGGCCTTAGCTCTCCCATCTGGAAGAAGTCTGTGCTACCAGCAGCTTCCTTGGCTGCTGTTGCCCAGAGCAGGGGGACACAGCACGTGTGTGTGTCTATTTTCCAAGGCTCTGGGTGCTTTTAGTCACTGGCCATCATCTAAGCCCTGGCCCCAGCCGTGAGCAACCAATCAATCTGCAGGAGAGTTTAGACTGCAGAACAAGGAGCCCTTCCAGAGCCTCCCAACCATACCAAAGGGAACCCCTCTTGCAGGGAAATGTATTTGTGAGGGATATTCTCACTGCAGATGCTTGCCCCCTTCTTCCCCACCTGCAGGGGTCTATGGCTTCCTGACCTTCGGGACGGAAGTTTCTGCCGACGTCTTGATGTCCTACCCGGGCAATGACACGGCCATCGTTGTAGCACGTGTTCTCTTCGCCGTCTCCATCGTGACCGTCTACCCCATTGTGCTGTTTCTGGGGAGGTGAGTCTGTTCGGCTCAGTGCAACCACTGCTTGTGTTCTCTATCTATGGTGGGGGAGGGGTAAGCGTGCACTGTGGGGCCGAGGCCACCTCTGATGGACAGAGCGGGGTCCACGAGTACAGAGAGTAAGCATCAGAACTGGACCAGGAACCTTGACTTCTCACCCTGCAGGGCTAAGAGGTGCCCTGGGGAACACACAGCTGGGCGAGGAGCAGACTTGCCAGGTGTAAAGGTCACAGAGGCCGAGAAATCAGCGGCCATAGGCGCTGGCTGAGCACTGACATCCATGCATCCGCAGGTCTGTAATGCAGGACTTTTGGAAAAAGAGCTACTGGGCCACATGGGGCCCCCCAGTGCTGGCGGACCCCTCAGGGCCATGGGTTCGGCTACCTCTGACCTTTCTATGGGTGTCAGTGACACTAGCCATGGCTCTGTTCCTCCCGGACCTCAGCGAGATCATTAGCATTATCGGTGGCATCAGCTCCTTCTTCATCTTCATCTTCCCGGGTGAGTGTCTGCATATAGCCTTGGTCTACAGAAGCTATTCTCAACCTGTGGGTCACGACCCCTTCACCAACCCTCTGTCTCCAAAAATATTTACCTTACAATTGACGACGGTAGAGAAATTACAGTTGGGAAGTGTCAACAGAAATAGTTGCATGGTTGGGGGTCACCACAGCATGAGGAAGTGTATTAAAGGGTCGCAGCATTAGGAAGGTTGAGAAGCACTGGTCTATAGGATCTGGAGGGGGGATGAGGGCCTCGCTTACTCAGCCCGGCGTGGGTCAGGCTTTCCAGACTCTTCCTGGGTAAATGGCTCAGCAGCCCTAGATGGATGTGTTGTCATTCCATCCCACAAATGGGAAGACAGAGGCCCAGGACCCAGGGCACACCTGGCCTGTGACAGAGTGGAAAGGCTACCAGGTCCACTGCCTGTGCCTCCCACTGTGTGGGTGGTTGGTCATTTCTAAATACCATCTGTGTGCAACTCACAAGGCTCACAGCCCAAAAGAGTGCCAGTCTTCTTGGCACTGGCCCAGACCTGGAGGCAGGTACTGTGTCCTGCAGTGAAGTTTCTGAGGAAGCTTTCCCGGTGTACATGAGGCGAGATGCTAAGTTCTGGGGGACACAGCAGGTGTGTTTTCCAGATGGGGAGCCCAGCAGGGGTGAGACTGTAGAAAGGCTTCAGAGCGGCTTCCAGGCACAATAGGGGCCCAGGCACAGAGCAGTACATAGCACACAGCGGTGCTTCCGTGTGTAGACTTGGCAATCCTGCTATGGAAAGAGCAGTATTAGGCAAATATTGAAGTTGAGGGACCATGACCCGATGTAGAGCCATGGCCAGATGTTGGCCCTGAAACTGATAGCACCAACCATGGCCGACCCAGGTTGTCTCTGGGGCTGATAGCGCCTCTATAAGTGGGTAGAAGCCAGGGGAGAGAGCGTCACTGTTCACTCTGGTTTTGGGTACAACTTGACGAGTTTCACGGTGCCTGTCTCTTTCAACTGCTTGGTCTGAGGCGGCCTCTTTCAATTCTGGCCCAGGCCCCGCGCCTTTTCAAAGTTCCAGCTCTTGCCTGTGCCCAAGCCAACCACCTGGGGAGGGTCAGTGTGGGAGCATTTCCGTGGGAGCTCCAGGCAGAACTGGCAGGCTTTGAAGCTGAACAGAACTTAATGGGATGCTGGAGGTGGGACCCAGGACTCATGCGTGCCAGGCCAGAGCTCTGTAGCTAAAGTACAGGCCAGCTATAATACATACATATAGGAGGAGGGGTGGGAGGCAGCAGACAATCTGAGATATTGTTCCTTAGGTACACAGACAGGGTCTCTCATTAGCCTAGAACTCACCAAGGAGGCCATACTGCCAGGAATCTGCCTGTGTCACTCACATGCTCCCTTCATTTAATGTGTGTGTGTGTGTGTGTGTGTGTGTGTGTGTGTACATGCATGTATGTGTGCATGCAGGTAGAGAGGCCCAAGATTGACATCGGGTGTCTTGAGCTTATGTACTTGTTAGACCTGGAGCTTGCCATTTCAGCTAGTCTAGATAGCCCACTGTGCCAACCATATGCCAGCCATGCTGTTCAGCTGAGTCATTTTAGGGGCCCTTAGCTGGAGACCTCACCAGCCTCACTAACTTCAAACTGGCCCCCTAACCACTGGGTCAGACTACCAGTCCCGATGTGCCACTTTTCCATTGACCACCTGAGGACTGTGGGGCTTTGGCAGCTCTCTGTACCTCCATTTCAGTGAGGGAGAGCCAAGGTGACCTCCTGTCTCCTTTACAGGTTTGTGCCTCATCTGTGCTGTGGACACGGAGCCCATAGGCCCAAGAGTCAAGTGAGTGTCCCCAAGATAAAGCTGATGCCTAAGGTGTACTGAGGAGCTGGGAGCTCAAATGATGTGTTCTTCTGGGCCTAGGAAACTATAGGTGGTGGGTGTGGCCTGTATAAGAACAGCACAGGTCTCCAGCCAGCCTTCACCCATGTATGCATGTTAGCTTCCAGGCTCTGTGACTGGGACTTCCTGTCTGCGTGGAGTATGCCCGCTTTCTTCCAGTGGCCCATGCTATATCTCCTTTGAAGCGTGGCTCAGGGTAGGAGCAGGGCAGGGGCTGGGCCTGAGTGGTTGACAGGACTTGGGCTCACCTGCTGTGTCATCATGGTAGCAGATTTTGCCGGGGTTGGGGGCTGCTTTAATCTAGACCCCCTCCTATACTTCTCGGTTGTGTGTGGCTCGGGAGGCTGTGGGAACAGGGCCAGCCCCAGCCCAGACCCTGGAATCCAAGGCTCCTCGCTTACCCACCCCCTTGAATGCCCTGCACAGCTGTGGAAATAAACTGAAGTAGCTAGAAGGGTGCAGGGCTAGCTGTCTGCAGAGAATGACCATGGCCGGGCGGGCATTAGTGGCACAAATGCGCGCTGGGAGCTCTGGAGGCAGGCCTCAGATGGGCTGAAGGCAGGCTGCTTCGTGGGTGGCAAACCTTTATCACGCTCCCCTTAGGAAGACACTTACCTGCAGACCCTGTTCTGGATAGGGCCCTCGTCCCATGTAAGCATGCAATGTGTCCTGCCTCTCAGTCCATTTCAGACGCCCATGGCTTGCAGAGGCCATGGATATGGGTGCCTGCTCCAGGCCTGTGTAAAGTCCCCATCTTTCAGCCCTGGTGAGCCCGAGACCCATTTTTTCAGGGGAGCAGGTATGGCTCGGACCCCTTGGTCCTTGTCACGGCCAAGCTCACCACGGATCATTCATGGGCTTTCAAGATGATTTTCTGAACCTGCCCTCTGTCCTTCCCTGTCGTCAGCAAGTGACATTAAGTCCTGTGGGCTTTGGGGGTGCTAATGCTGTTCAGCCAGGGATGTCCCCCTCTGGTGACAGTTGCTTCTAGTCCCTGTGAAGGCTGCAGTGATCTGGAAGCCCTGCCATTTGCTGGTCCAGTTAGTGATCACCAGTTAAGGAAATGCTCTGTAGGCTTGCCTAGAGCCATGTGGATCTATGGAGACATTTCCTAAGTAGAGGTTCTCTTTCTCAGTGGCTGGCTGGCCTGGTTGCCCCACTCTCCTCCGGTTCTGCGCCATAACTGTCTTCTTGCCTGTGTGTGGCTCAGGGCTTTGGGCTTCTCCCTCACTTATGGGCTGTAGATGCTGTGAGGAAAGCGGTTTAAGGTTGCGCCTCCCTTGATCCCATTTCTTTATTTTTATTTTTATTTTATTTATTTATTACACATACAGTGTTCTGTCTGCATGCCAGCAGAGGGCATCAGATCTCATTATAGATGGTTGTGAGCCACCATGTGGTTGCTGGGAATTGAACTCAGGACCTCTGGAAGAGCAGCCCATTTCTTTTCTTCAATAAAGTATAGAGGAGGGATGAGGCATTGCACCAAGAGACTTTATTTCCTGCTGTCTCTCTGATAAAAGAGAAAGGAATGTCCCACATCAATCACCAATTCAGAATATGTCCAACATGCTTGCCTGCAGCCTGGTCCTCTGGAGGCTTTTTTCTCACTTGCCCTCCTCTCAGATGATTTTAGCCTGTGTCAATTTGATGTAAAGCCATCCAGCACAGAGAATTTTGTCTGTCTAACTCAACGACACTCCTGGTCTGCCAGCGCTGCCTGGCACTGCACACTGCCAGCCACACAACCAGATACGTTGCTTTGTAGGTGCTGCCTGGAGGCCTGGGGCACCCTCTCCGTGCTGGTGGGTACCTTCATCTTTGGGCAGAGCACAGCTGTGGCCGTGGTGGAGCTGCTCTGAGAGGCCTCTGGGCTGACCCGTCACTCCTGCACTCCTGTGGGTTCTCACCATCACAAAGGTGCTGTCCTACCTGCTGGCCGCCTTCTGAGCGCTGCTCCTCCTGCGGCTCCCGGGGCCCTAGTGAGGAAGGACTGCTGTGACAAGTTACCTCCAGCTGGTGACTCAGGACAGTGGAAGCTCTGCTGCTGAAAGGCAGAGTATGAGCCAGAGTGTGGAGGGCCGCGCTGCCTCAGAAGGCTCTGGAACGCTCCTCCACTGTCCTCCTCTGGTGGTTGTAGGAGGTCCTTGGTGACCCTGGCTTGTAGATGTATCACTCTAGTCTCTGTTCATAGTCACAGGGTCAAATCCTGCCCTATATGTCTCTGTTCAAGGTTCCCTTTCCCAAGCAGGATGCCAGTTACCCAGTCTGGGTCTGTCTCCAGTTTGTTGGCACTTGTCTGCTCTGGCTATTTCTCCTCTTAGTTACTGAAGATGTGTGTCTTAGTAATTGTTCTGTTGCTGAACTTATAGACAAGTTCACTGGTAGTCTACAGTTTCAGAAGGTGAGTCCATGACCATGGCATGGCAGCTGGCGGGCAAGCATGGTGCTATAGCAGTGGCTGAGAGCTTGCACCCTTATCTGCAAGCCCAAGGCAGAGAGGGCACACTGGGAGTGGTGTGAACTTTTGACCAGTGACACACCTCCTCCCCTTATGAGACCACACCTCCTAATCCTTCCCCAACAGTGGAGACCAAGCATTCAAACATATGAGCCTGTGGGGGCCATTTGCATCCAAACCACCATATTCCAGTCCCTGGTCCCAAAGGCTTGGAGCAATGTCATAATGCAAAATGCATTCAAATGTCCCCGTGGTTGGGCTTTGACTTAAGGTTATGTGAGGATATAATGAATTTGTGACGCAAGCATGAGAATGTCCGATGTTGCTGTTTCTCGGGAAGTAGACTTGGAATGCCAACAAATGTGGGGAGGAACACAGGGATACTTGTGTGACCTTCCTCAGTTTCTAGAAAATAGTAAACAATATTCTCATACCTTAGACATTTTTTCTGAAGACAAACAACATGGTTGTGGTTCATATAACCTTGAACATGCTGGGCTGTGAAGAAGGTGTCTCTGTGATGGTAAGCCCCTAATTCTGTTAGCAGTGGAGCAGCAATAAAAATGAGCCTTGGACTGCAAATGCATTCAAGCGCCTTGAATCCCCTGGTTTCCTCATGTCAGTACTTCCAGGCAACCTCTCCCACCTCTATCTTTTTTTTTTTTAATAGTCTCAGCAGTTTAAAATTCAGAGTTTCTTCTGAGACTCAAGACAATCTCTTGTGTATGTACTTCCAACATGATAACATAGAACATACATTCTAAAAGGGAGGAAAAGGGGCACAGTGTGAAGAGAAACTGGACCAGAGAAAGACTGGAAACCAGCAGGGCAAACTCTGAATCCTGTAACTTCATGTGTGATGTCAAAGGGCTAGGTGGCTCTATCCTTCCAGCTTTGCCAACTGTCACAGCTGTGTCTCAGGCTGGTTCCACCCCCTGTAGGCAGCTTTCCCTGGCAGACAGCCATGGCCCTGGCACCGCCAACATCTTGGGGTCTCCAACACAATGCAGGCTTCACCTTCACAGCTTCATGCAGTGGCCTCTCAGGGTTTCGGTGCAGAAACTCCCCTGCCACACATCTGGTTTCAGCATCCTTTTCACCAAGAATAATCCACAACCCACTTATTTACTCCTGTATCCTTCATGAGGCTAAAGCCAGAACCACACAGCGGATGCTGCTGAGTTCAACTGCTTGCTTGGGATGGAGCCTGCCGGCTTCTGTGAATTATATTTGCATAATAATATTTGTTTGATTTATTGATGATTTTTAGATGCAGAGAACCCCTCAGGCCTTTTCTTCTTACAAACTGCAGGGTTATCTGGGTGGCGCCTCACCCTGAGGGCGTCTCATCCCTCCTCTCTTTCAGCACTAATCACGATTCCAACGTTGAATTTCCTAGTGTTCTTTTTCTCCCCAGACTGCACATTTTGTACTTCCCTTTGTCCCGTTTGCTCTTTTTTAAAGATTTGTTTGTTTGTTTTATGTGTATGAGTGCTGTAGCTGCATGTACATCTGATGCCAGAAGAGGGCATCAGATCCCAGTATAGGTAGTTGTGAGCCACCGTGTGGTTGCTGGGAATTGAACTCAGGACCTCTGGAAGAGCAGACAATGCTCTTAACCACTGAGCCATTTCTCCAGCCCTCTGGGCTATCTTGAAATCGTCATCAACTCTTCAGTGTAGCCTTCAGCATATTCTTGTTTATATATGCTGGGTTGGGGGAGCCACCCCTGCTGGGGGAAGGTAAGGGTGGGGACCTGGCTGTTCCCTGGGCGCAAGTGCTTCCTGGTACAGCATCTCTGTGCCAGACCCTTCCTGCCTGTGCCACGTACTATGTCTGGGACCTCATGAGGTTGGTGTAACTGTCTGTGGCTTTGTGTTTTCCCCCATGTGTTTGAAGGCTTGGAGTTGTAAAGTTGAGAGAGTTCATACACTTTAAGACTCATCCCTTGGGAGGCATACTGACGTGGTTCAGTGTGTTCAGCCCACAGTTATCTCTCTACCTCATGCCTGTGCCCTGACCCCACGCTCCTCTCTTGGCCTCTGCGTCTTGCTGGCTTAGCTGTGCCATGAGCAGATGCTGCAGCAGATGGTTGTATGTGGCTGCCCTGGTGTGATGTCATGTATTTCCCCCTCCAATATGTTTAACTGCAGAGTCCACTAAAGCAGGGGAGTCAAACCCACCCATCCCATAAGATCTTCTGTGAGACCAGACTACTTTGGGCTTGAATTCCCTTTCTCCTCCTCTTTGTTTTTCTGCACTGTGCAGTGGCCATAGGGGTCTGCCTCCATCCTCTGATCACCCCTGGGTGATCTGCTATGTCCTCATTAATGAGCTCAGGATTTTCCTAAAAGGATGGGTTTCCAGAATAAGCCCTGCAGAGTATCTAAGGACTTCTCAGCTCCTTGGGACAGGCAATGTTCAGACAGCCTATCATTGTAAATTAAAGGTTTACAGCCCTGGCCAGGGAGGCTGGGCCCCTGTGAGACCTTTTGCTGTACTCGGTGTGGTGGTTTGAACAGGTTTGGCCCCCATAGACTCCTGTGTTTGAATGCTTGGCCCATAGGGAGTGGCACTATTAGGAAGTGTGGCCTTGTTGGAAGAGTAGGTGTGGCCTCCCTGGAGGAAGTATGTCACTGTAGGGGTGGGCTTTGAGGCTATATATGCTCAAGCTATGTCCAGTGTGGCTCACAGTCTCCTTCTGCTGTCTGTGGATCAACAAGTAGAACTCACAGCTCCTTCTCCAGCACCATGTCTACCTGTATGCTGCCATGCTTCCCGCCATAGTGATAATAAACTAAACCTCTGAACCCATAAGCCAGCCCCCATTAAATGCTCTCCTTTTTCTAGAGTTGCCGTGGACACGGTGTCTCTTCACAGCAATGGAAACCCTAAGTTTCAGTAATGGCCAAGCAGGGGTAGTAGGGGCCTGAGTGAAGGAGGCTGAAAGAAAATGGCTTTGGAGCTGAGCCACTGGCTCTGCTCCCGGGAAAGGCGTGTGCACCTGTTCTAACATCTCATTTTCCCCAGAAAGATGGAACAGGTTTTTTGGGGTGTGTGTGTATGACAGGTGTTCTGTGTACAGCAAATGTATAAAGGTTATCCCAGTCAGCTGGAGCAATGTCATGATGGGGACCCAGATGGTTGAGAACGGCAGGAAACACTGAGTTTCCCTGCAGCCAAAGGGCTTGCCTGGGAAGAGGGCACATGAAGAAGTGAGGATGAGGACCCTGTCCCTGGAGGGGACAGGATGTTGCTTCTGGAGACAAAGCACCCATCTCAATTCTGTAACAGGAGCAGATATAAGTCACAGATCTGCATAATTAGAGCATATAATACAATGCAATTAGAGAAATACAAACTGGACACTACACTCTGACATCAAACTAGTAAGTGGAGGGAAAAGGACTTGGGGAATCGCCAGCTTCAGTTCTAAGTAGCTTTCAGGTTTGGACAGCAGCTGGCTATGGGAGGGGTGCATGGGGCAGCCTTGGGCCCAGGCTCTGGCCTGTGAGTGTGTCGCTTGGCTTGTAGGCTGTGTGGCCCTCTTGAAGTCTGCACCCTTTCTGAACCTTGCTCACCCTTAGGTCACAGCATAGAGAAGCTCCAGCCAGTGGCATCCCAGTTCCCTGTCCTTTCTCCCTCCCTGTCCCTCATTCTCAGGCCCTATTGTCCTCCAATGAGACAAAGCTAAGGGCAGCTGAAGGACCCCTTCTCCCCCCCCCCCCCCCCCACCAAGGGGGTCTTCAGCACGGAGCAGAAGTCGCTAGCACCATCAAAGATGATTAACTGTGGTTGAGTGTAGACACCCCCCCCCATGTCACCACTGACATTATGGGCAAAGGATGTGGCGCTCCTGCCCGAGAGACACAAGCAGTGGGCATGCTGAGTGCCAGGGGAACCTCTCTGTAGCCAGGGCAGCCTTGGCTGCTACCTGCAGCCTCAGGAGCGGCCAGAACACGGGCCCACAGGATCCAAACAGGATCACTCTGCAGAGGGCATGGGTGTGCATGAGGCAGCTGGCTAGCGAGCCAGGCAGGAAGGTCAGGAGCTGAAGGGGTCCTGAGGAACGACATGAGACACAGCCCATCACTCCAAGGCCTCCCTCCGCTCCGGGGCATCCGGCATGTGTCCTGTGTTGGAGCGGCATCTCCTCCTGGGGCTCCCTCTACCCTTTGAGCATCCTCTTCCTTGGCCCAGCCACAACCTGTCAACCTGCCTGTGGACTGTATAATACGTGGCCACGTGTGTCTGGCATCCTTCACTTTTGCAGTGTTTTCCAGGTCTATGTGTGTTGTAGCAGGTGTCAGCATCCTTCATTGTGACTGAAGGTAGCCGTCCCTCTGAATCCACGGGACCCTGGCTCCAGACTCCATGGATCTGTCTGTGGACGGGGAGTCTCTCACATAAAAGGTACTGTACAGAATATGAACCTTGCACACCATTTCTTTACTGTCTCTTTAGATTATCGCCAGAAGAGAGCCACCCGAATGGTCACACGGTTTAGGGAGTATGTGCCATAAACATATGACAAGCACTGCAGCCTGAGTACACAGAGCATGTCAGCAGCAGTGAGGATTTTTATTTGACCTGTGGTTAGCTGAATCCCAGATGTTGAAACTGTGGATACAGGAGACCAGGGTCAGCTCTGATGGGGACAGTGTGTGCTGGTTATATCAAGTTTTGTCAACTTGATACAAGCTAGAGTCACTGGGAAGAGGACCCTCAACTGAGGAACTGCCTAGATAAGACTGGCCTGCAGACAAGTCGGTAATTGTCTTGATTGCTAATGGGTGTAGGAGGGCCCAGCTGACTGTGGGCAGTACCATTCCCTAGGCAGGTAGTCCTGGGCTTTATGAGAAAGCCAGTTGAGCAAGCCAGTAAGCAGCCTTGCTCTGTGCTTTCTGCCTTGAGTTTTCTCATTGATGAACTGTGACCTGGAAATGTAAGCAAAAAAACAACAACAACAACAACAACAACAACAAACAAAAAAGAAACAAACAAAAACAACAAACAAACAAAACAAAAGCCACTTTCCTCTCCAAGTTGCTTTTGGTCAAAGTGTTTTATTACAGCAACAGAAAAGAAAACTAGGACACCTTGGGTACGGGGACCCAGGGCTGCTGTGCTACTCTGCTGTAGGATTGCAACACGGGGTTTTATCTGGTTCTCCCCATGAATGCTGTGTCAGGTGTCTGTCTATCTCAAATAGCCTTTCTCCATGTGGGTGTTTCGTGTGGGGTAAAGTGTGTACACCTGGAGGGCAGAGCCGGACTTCCAGTATCTTTCTTTTTTGTTCTTCGCCTCACTTTTTAAGACAGGCTCTCTCACAGAACCAGAAGCTCGCTGTGTCAGCTAGGCTGGCTTGCTGTGTCAGCTAATGAGTTCTTAGTCTCTGCCCATCCTGGTACCAGGCACCTTCCCTCCACAATTCGGGGGTTGCATGCATTCACGGCCATGCTTTTAACATGAGTTCTGGGGATTTGACCTCGGTTCCTCATGCTTACTTAGCAAATGTTCTACCCACGGAGCATCCTCCCTGCTCAGCTCAGTGTCTTTTGTGTATACAGGAGCAGACTCGCTGGGTTATTTGAACTATTGTCGTGAACTATTTGAGGAAGCAGGCACAGATATTGACAGGACTCTGGAGCTGTTCTCCCAAGACACCGCTGCTGTGGTGTGGGGCCAGGCACAGGATTGTGGGTCGCAGCAGGCTCTGTACTTGGATCTCCTTGAGGTACTACCATGCCGTGTGACCTTGGTGAGTAACCTTCCCTCTCTGTGTCTGTGTGTCTTCTTCTGGGCATACCAGGTCTGGTGAGCACAATGGGTGATGTCGCGTGGCAGGAGCTTGGGTCTGTGTCTGGCTAGAGTGTAAATGTAGTGGACCCTGAAGAATCTGTTAGGGGAACATTGCCTCAGAGCCTGTCCCCACCCCTCCCAACAGGGAAGATCCTGAAACCTGCCACTCCACAGTGCTGCACTTTGGAGGACTTGGGCAAAGTGTGGCACGTGGAAGAGCTGTGATGTGCTCTACTATATGGGGGCCCTCAGCTGTACCCCCAAAGCAGCGGCCTCCTCATTTATCAAACAGCCAAACTGAGGGGGAAAGCAGCGGCCTTGGGCCGGGAGGGCGCTATCTCCTCAGGCTCCCAGTGCCAGCAGGAGCCTTCCCTGCGCTGATCCAGGTGATCCCTGACCAATCTCGGGGTGGCTTTGTGGCCTCTGGATTGCCAAGGCTGTTGTGGGATAGTCCAGTTAGAGCCCGAAGCTGGGATCTGAATCTGCTTCTCTCTAGGAGCAGGCTTCGTTGGTTTGTGAGCAGCTGGCATCTGACTGTGAGGAGGGTAGGACCTGCCAGGGAGCAGGGGTGGGGGGAGGGTCTTTTCCACACGTGCTTTGCTGGCAGCGGTGAAAGGAGGCACAGATAGTGGTCCTGCCTTTCTCCCTCCCATTCTTCCCTAGCAGAGTAGAATGCCAGAACTGAAGTTCCAAAGAGCATCTTAAGGGCAGAATCTGACTGACAGGTGAGCATGAAGGTGAGTGCTGGCCTCTGCCCCCAGCTCCTGGGAGACCAGCTTAAGTCCTAGTGTAGTAGTGATGCTTCAATTTAGGCTGAGGACCCATCTGTGGAGGGTGGCATTGAAGATCAGCCACCCTCCGCTCACATGCAATTGTCTCCCCCGTGGCCTGGCCCTCCCTTACCAACTTCTGTTGATTCCCTGTTCCGTCAACCTGCAAATGACCCAGCCAGCCCCACTTCACTGTTCCTCTGAACTGTTACAGTTGAGGTAGCCCAGGCATCACCCAAACTCACTTGTCAAGATGCCTACCCCAAAGCATTGCTCCACTGACAGCTAGGAACACTGAGGCTTGGAGGGCTGGTTAAGAGCCAGTCTCTGCTGCCCACAACGGCATCCCCAGCTATCTCCTTCCTCCCTCCAGTTGCCTTCAGCTGGGGAAGGGAGAGAGACACGACACGCTGTTCCTAATCAGACTTTATTTGGTGGCTGTGGTCCTAGCTTGGGCTGGGGACCTGGGCTCTACCCAAGCCTAGGTTGGGTACTACAGGGTCTCACAGCTCCTATTAGGTAGAGGGCCATCGAAGAGGAGGGAGGTAAAAGGAAGACGCCTGCCTATCTGAGGTGGGCCCTGCTGGCCTCAGCTAGGAAGAAGTCAGGGAGGCCAGAGGCTGGCTGGGGTGGGAAGCCATCCCTGCTAATAACTTTGTGCTGCCAGCATCCTGGCAGTACACTCTGTCAGGTCAGGTGTGGGGATGCCAGGGGAGGGGCCTCCTCCGGGCCACAGCAGGGGGAAGTATGTATCCTTTTATTAGTATACTGAAAAGACAGCTGTTTGCCAAAGTCTCTAGAAAAGGGGTAGTGTCCTGTGGGGGAGGGGCGGTTGGGCAGCAGTAGGCTCCTTAACAGGGCGCCTCGGGAGGGATCAGTCTCGGCCTGAGGTGCACCAGGCAGCTGGAAGCAGGAGAGAGAGAAGTGGTGGTCAGATCTTGGGCTTAGGGGGATCAAGGCCCCTTCCCTGGAGGCCAGCATGGCTGTGGGCAGGGGTAGGTGGAGGATATGGGAGGCCTTCAGTGAGCTTCTCCTGTGACCTGACCTCACCCTGGTCTACACACCAAGCTTGGTCAGGAGCCTGCATCTGGATAAGGATTCCTGATGTTGGGGAGTAAGCAAGAAATCCCTATAGGTCTGGGACCCTGCTAAGAGATCTGGGCCACCCCACCCCAGTGGCCGTTCTGTCCCTGCCCTACCTGGCACGGAGATCTGGGAGAGCGCCTCAGGCTGGCTCAGTGTGTCAACCTTGACATGTCGGAAGGCCTTGCCCACAGGGCTCTGCAGGTGCCTGCAAGCGGGGAGCACAGGTTAGTCTGGGGGCACATCTTGGGGAACGGGGGTGAGGGGAACCTTAGGTGTGGGCTCAGGTCTAGCCCTGCTCTGTCTGGGAGAGGGGTGTGGCCTTGTGAACACTCATCCAGGAAGGCCTTTGCCTCCAGACTGCCCACGGGAACAAGATCAAACCTCTAGTCCTGCCCTTTCCCCCCCTGCTTAGCCCCAGCATCAGGGACAGCACAGCCCCAGGAGACTTGAGCTGCTGTGTCTGAGAGCCAGCCTCGTGTGCTCACTCTGCCCAGCAGCACCTGAGTCCTTAGTCTCACAGCCCTGGGCATTCACTGCGGGAAGAACAGGGGCAAAAGTGACCCCCTGTTCCTACTCTGTGACAGACAGGGTTGTATATGGGGAACTAGAAACCTCCACAGTGCTGTCTCCATGTGGGGATGTCGGCGAGGTGGCCAGCCCCACAACACTCAGCAGCTCTGACAGCAAGGCTCCAGGACCCAGCGCCTGAATAACGCAGGCAGGTGCTGAGGGCCAGAGAGGCTGTGGGAAACTGAGTCCTTAGAGCAGAGATTCACCTGTGTGGGGCCATATAGGGAGTCTGGATCCGGGTCTCTGTGTCTAAGAACCTCTGGTGACCGGCATGAGCTGGCCAGGAAAGGAAGCTTGCCTGGAAGAAGCCTCTGCAACCAGAAGCCCGGCTCTTCACCATCCTCCCCGCCCTCTCCTCTGATGGTCCTCCGGGTCAAGGGAACAGGAGCCTAGAGACAGTCGGCCCCACTCTGGCATATCATGGGGTAGGGGGCAGGGCTGCACGAACCTCTTCCACTCCTCCTCTGTCTCCCAGAACTCGTAGATGACAAAGGTCAGGCCGTCTGCCATCCTCACCGCGGCAACGCTGCAGAGAAGTGACACGCACATCTGCGGCGGGCAGTGACTGCCCACAGACCCACACCACAGTCTTCAGACTCTCTTCCCCACTGGTACCTCCACAGGGCAATGGGAGCTGGAGACACCAGGGACCACGACAACTTGACTCCGATGGGCAGCCACCATGCTACCTACCTCACCATGGCCCACACAGAGAGCAGGATTTAAGATGCATTTAAAACACCTGGTGTAGGGGGCGGGGGAGATAGCTCAACTGCACATGACTCTGAAAACCTAAGTTCGACTCCCAGAATCCATGCGAAAAAAAAAAAAACGTCAGATCCGGTCTCAAGATAATCAATGTGGGAGCCAGAAAGATGGCTCAAAGATGAAGGTGCTTGAAACAGAGCTCGATGACCCGGGTTTGATTCCCAGAACCTACACAATGAAGGAGAGAACTAACTCCAGCAAGTTAGCCCCTGGCCTTGTGCTGGCTAGTTTTTATGTTAACTTGACACAAGCTAGGGCATTGAAAGGAGGGAGCCGCAGCTACGAAAATGCCTCTATAGTCTACAGCCATACCATCCTGAACACGCCTGATCTCGAAAGCTAAGCAGGGTCAGGCCTGGCTTGTACTTGGATGGGAGAAAACACCTCTATAATGCAGGCAACCCTTTAGGGCGTTTTCTTAGTGATTGATGGGGGAGGTGTCATGCCTGGGGCTAGTGGTCCTGCATCCTATGAGAAAGCAGGCTGAGCAAGCCACTAAGCAGCACCCCTCCATGGCTTCTGCATCAGCTCCAGCCTCCATGTTCCTGCCCTGTTTGAATCCCTCCCCTGCCTTCCTTTTATGAAGTGCAAATGAAATAAACCCTTTCCTCCTCAAGTGGCTTTGGCTATGGTGTTCCATCACAGCAATAGAAACCTAACTAAGGCAGACCCCACACCCCAACCCGATATGTATACACACACACAGAGAGGCTGGGCACTCAACTCAGGAACAACACTCAAGACTGATCTCTGACCTTAACACACCTATACACACCTGGTTTTCAAACCAAAGCACCCAGCCTATGCAGTACTCACTCTCCTGCCTCTTTCAATCCTTAAGACAACCCCAGGAAGCCCAGACCTGGGCTGACAAGAGGAAATTGAAGCTCAGGGAGGTACTGTTCCAGACTGAATTGACCTGCAGCTCAGGCACATCCCTTGAGCGACCTGGGATGTCACTCCATCTTACATGGTGCAGATCCTGGTGGCTGGGGCAGCAGTGTGACCATGTGGCCCACGCATTACTGTCCTTGTCCCCACCAGCCCCTCTAGGCCCCTGGCTGCCTTTCTTTCTCACATGTGGCAGAAATGCCCCTGAATCTCTCAAGGAGGTGACTCTCTTTCAGACAAAGGCTGTGTGATTCCAGATCAAGCCATTCAAGAGAAGCGAGGAACACCACTGCCGCCTCATCCTTAGCTCATTATGTGCCAGCCTAGAATCTGCACGTGTACTCAGGGCTCTGGCTGAGTGGATGGGGGTGCCTGCCAGCCATGGCTCTATGGCAGGCAGGTATCTGCTCTGGACTCTCCAGGCACAGCAAAGTTTACCACAGACAGCTGGGCCCATAGGACTGTGGCTACCACAGGATGATGGAGCCTTTGCCTGGCTGAAGATGGCTTCTCACGAGGAAGGCACAGCAGGGCAGGCTTGGGTATGGAAGACACAACAGGAAGACCCCGTCTCAGGGTCCCATCCTTCAAGAAGAACTGGGGGGGGGGGCAACAGAACCAGGAAGGACTAGCTGAGGATAAAGGGTGGAGTTTCCTTCCCCTCTTCCTTTAAGAACCGTGGCAAGGGCTGGGATGCTGCTAGGGAGATGGCGTGTGCCCAGCACCCACAAGAGTTCTGGTTCAGCCCCAGCACAGCAAACTAAAACAACTATCTGCACAGCACCTCATGGAGCCCTGTCCTCCCTGGGGTCCTCCGGACCGATAACGTGGCACACCCGCAGGCACCACAGAGCTGACACGACTCCCACAGACAATGTGCCTAGGTGGTCTGGCCTCTCCCATGCAATAGGGCTGATCCTTTACCAGGTCTCTGAAGCCGAGTGTGAACCAGAACGGCCTCAGCCAGGACATCATTCTATTCCCAACACACTGCCTGCTTGATGGATGAGTAAATCTAGGCCTGGGGGTGAGCTTACAGCTGGGATGAAGCTGAGCCCCACTGTCTCGGCTTCCCTAGGGGAGGGGCTGGCTCTGCCAGGTCTCACCACTGCCAGTCTCCCCATCCCCCTGCAGCCCCCCCTCCCCAACAAGGCCACCACCAAGCCATGCAGAAAGCGATCCTCCCTTACTGGAAGCAGTTTCTTTCTCCAGCGGTGCCCCGGAGGTACTGTCGCAGGGAGTCCAGGAACTCGCTCAGCTGCTCAGGGCACACGGCCATTTCCTGCCTGACCAGCTGCAGGTGCTGTGAGCCAAAGTGGGAGTGAACATGTGGGCCGGGCCCTTACCCAGCCACGTGGGCACAGTTCAAATCCCGGCAGCCTATGCCTTGCTTCTGAGAGGTCAAGACCATGGGGTCAAAATAAAGCCTCCACATGTCTTATTCTTACACGTGCAAGTCAGCTAAAGGCCAAATGGGTAAAGTCCCTGTGGGGCCCCACAAACAGGGCAGTGAGAAGGCTGAAGGGCCCCACCGAGAGGCACAGCCAGTGGCCAGCAGGCTACCTTTCCAACCAAAAAACGCACAGCCTGATGACAGAGCGGGCCAGATGCTTGCTCCACACCAGGCCAAATGCTTTTTTTTTTCCTCCTCAGAGTCCCGGAGCCAAGGCTCACCGTGTCCCTTGGGGAGGGGAGGGCAGAGAAGGGTAGCCAGAGACATGGAGCTACAACACTCCTCAGAAGGCTGGAAGGACAGGTCAGAGGACAGGGGCGGAGAGGGCCTTACCATGTTGGTGCCTTCTTCATCCGAGAGGCGCTGCTGCAGATCAAACCAGAGAGTCTGGAACAAAACAGCGATGCCTGGGACTCAGGGAGGGGGCACCAGGCAGCCTCAGGATTACAGCCCCTGGGCTCCCAGGGCCAGGCCTAGTGGGCAAGGCTACTTAGCTCCCAGGCACAGAGAAGCCTCAGAGCGCACCCTGGAACCAGTGAGCCAGGGAAATGGCAGAGTTCCTTAAAGCCCAGATCTCTGAAGCACTGGGAGGTTCAGAGACCAATAAACTTAGGGTATATGGCTGGGGCAGGGAAATCTTAGTAACAAAAACTTAGGGGCCCCAAATCGGGATACTATTTTTACCACTATTTCATAAAAAGCCCTAAGGCCCCTTAACTCGCATACCTCACCTCTAGCAGTGACCTCGGGTTCTCCATGAGCCACGGTCTGCACAGGATGGCCTGCGCGCTGCCTGCCCCAAAGCCCTGAACTGAAAGCTTTCCATAGAAATGTTATTCCCCAGCCTACCGGCGCCAGCTGCTGCCTGCTGTGTGCTTTGTGAAGGCAGCAGCCGGTCCAGCTCTGTGGGTCAGGGGTACCTGTCACCCAAGCACACACTGGTGTTCAGGCATTATCACAGGGCGGAACCCCGGGCCCCAAAGGTTCCCCCAAATGGTCTAAGCGTTAGAGTCTGGGTTTAAACCTGGCCTCTTCTCCACCTGACAAAGCTCCATTCTTCCTCCCTCACAGTGGGCACCTCAACAATCACAGCCTCAGAGCCTGTCTGCCCTGCCAACCGGCGTGCACATACACGTGCAAGAGGCCCATCCCGTTAAAGAAAGCAGCAAGAAAGCAGCGGCAGGGGGCCAGTGGCCTCTGAATCACATCCCCAGCCTTGACCGCCTTCTTGTCCACACATCTCAAGAAAGTGCTCCGCGGACAAGACGTGTTCAAGCTCCTTTTTATCACTTAACGGGTACACGGGCTGCTTCTGGAAGGCTGGGGGTCCAACCGGGAACCCTTTGGCCTCTCCGTAGTCAGATGAACCCAGCAGTACTCAGACCTGCTGCCCTGTCGGAACAGCTGGGGGCGGAGCCCGGAGCTGGCTTGAACTGGCCCCATGTTTGTGCTTAGGCCAATCAGACACCTTGGAGGACCCCGCCCCATCTCCAGGACGCCTAGGTGCTCCTGGTTACCAACAAGCCTGGTTGTTAGGGCGACCGGGGTGCTAAAAATAAACTTCAAAGCGCCTCCCTCCTGGGGCCCCCACTGAGTTGTTATGACAACCGGGCACAAGGTCCCCACCGCGCTGCTCTCACCCCGGGCAGCCGGCTTAAAAGGGGCGTGGGAGGGGGACCCCTGCTTGTGCCACAGCCCTGCAGCTGGCGGGGCCGTACTGTCTTCCCTCCTGTCGGACAGCAGTCCAGTGAGAAGGCCCATGCTTCACACACACATACACACACACACACACACACACACACACACACACACACACACACACACCCAGTCCCTCAGAACGAACACCCAAGCCCCGCTAAGCACCGGCGCTCGTTGCAAAAGAAATACAGAAAAACAGAAGAAACGTTACCTCAATCTCAGGGCTCTGACACACCTGTCGCGCGGTGTAGGCAGGTGCGTAGGAGTCCTGCGCGCACACGTGTGGGGAATTTGGTAAAGGGTGGCTAGCAGCGCTAACATGGCTAATGTTAGGTGCTCGCTGGGACAGCGGACTCTGACCTGAGCCACCGGCGCCTTTGTGGGGAACACTGATCTCCTGACTGTCTCCCCTGTCATCAGAGCAGGACTTTCAGGCTCAGAGAGGGTAAGCCACTGACTCAAGGGCAAATAGCAAAAACCCACCTCCAGCGGAGGAACACCTAAGCCCGCCATCCGCAAGCCCCTTTGAGAGTTCTGTAAAGTCACACACTGTCCCTAGAGGCGTCTCTGCATAAGCTGGTCTGCTCCACACGTCCAGGCTGTATTTGCGTGGTCAGTATCCTCCTGTTTGGAATCTGCCCTGAACCGTCCCTGGCTCTCACTTCCACTTGCTTTTTTACCATCGGTCTAGGAGCCAGCTTTCCTGGAAAGGTCCATGGCACAGGACCCTGCTGGTTACTCTGCTCCTGGAATGCTGCCTGCCCTCCCACAGTCAGGACCAGGGCTCCGGTCCAAGCTCTCTTACAACCGGCAACACACCAGGATGTCTCAACTTCCCTCCAAGTTCTAAAATGGAAAGGGCTGGAGAACGGTTTGATAGGGGTGGGGCGGGCCTACCTTGCTCTCCAGTCTCCCAATCAGCTCTGCCAACCGGCTTATCTGGCCCTCCAGCCCCTCCTCCTTTGTCTCCCCTGTGGCTGAGAAAGAAAGAGACCTTGGCGGTGGGCAGGGCCATCCTGAAAGGGCAGAACCCCGACCAAGGTCCCCTTGGAGGGCCTTGAGTAATCTTGCTTGCTTACCCACAGGCAGGCTCTTCACCGGCTCCGGGGCCACAAGCTTGTGGTTGGCCATGTAGGGAGGGCTGGGTCCTCCATAACGGCTCTCGGTGATGCCATGGCTGGGTTGGCAGTGGTCCTGTCTGCAATGCGTAGAGGAGAAAGATGGCGTTAATGAGGGCAACTGTGGGACCATCGCCACCTCTATACCGGATTCATTGTGCACTTACAAGGCGCTGTGTCCTGAAATGTGCATGGACCTGCCCCAAGGACCCATGTCTGTAGAATGGGCAGAGTGGTGTAGTGAGAATTCTGGAACTTTGTTTTAAAATAAAACAAAAACAAAACACATGCGCACAGAAATACTATTATTTTTTTAAAGTTTCGTTTTAGTCTCAGGTGTGGGGATGTGGGGCTGCTTTACAGCAGCTGACAATGATTTGCCTTCTGCTCTAGCAGAGGCGTGGTCTTGCTAGCTGCAGATATTCTCTGCCATTGTTTGATGGTTGGAATTCTGGGAATTTTTCAGAGGGTCTATAAGTGCTAGAGCCCCGACAGGTATGGTCGGTGGTTGGTGGTCATTCGGGGGGCTTGTTTGCAGTGGTGCTCAAAGAAGAAACAAGAAGAAAGAACTTAGATTCAGAGATTGCTATCTCTCTCGTGCCTCTTCGATTCTCTCCGATCTAGTGATAGATAGGGGTGAAATGAGGGGGGTGGAACTAAGAAATTAGATTCAGGGGTCTCTCCTCTATCATTCTTCCTCTTCTATCTAGTGACAGGTGGATTGAATGGGGGGAAGGATATAAAAGGTGGGAAAAAGAAGAACCCACAAAGTAGCAAAGTCCGGCTACAGGGTGTCATTTTCTCAGAGGAGAAACACCACCCATGAGGCAGGTGACGTGGCCAAGACCATGTGGCCAGCTCCACAGAAGGACTCTAGCGCCCAGGCCCTGTGCCCCACAGGCTTCTTTCCATGGCTGATGAAAGGCTGGGCCAGGCACCTATCTGGCAGACCTCAAGGCTTCCAGCTGGTACAGGCTGCGCCCAGGCTGAGGAGACACCACCTCTCTTCCTTGCTCCCTACTTCAGTAGAGGCCACTATGCTATGACTTCTGGGATGGAAGACCTGGGTTTATGAGACTGCCCGCCCACACCCCCAAAAAGGGCAGAAAAACAACAACAACAAAAAACCTCTGAGCCTGGCCTGAGCCAGACTTCATCTCTTGTCCCCACATATCCTTCCTTCTCCATGCACACACTCATCTGGCACCCGGCACCTCTAGCACAGTGACTGACAGCAGGGTCTCCAAAAATACAGGGTCAATAGCCAATTCCTTATGCTCAAAGAGAGACCTTGCAAGACTGACTACAGACATAGTCAACCTGGTGTGCGCCTGACACGCACCCCCCCCCATGCCTGAACCCTTTAGAACATTCTGAAATCTGTGTTCGTGACCCCTGAAAGCTGAGCAAGTCTTTCCCCGTGTTGAGGAAGCCGGTTCCGCTCCCCCAGGGAGATAAGGCTAGTGGAAGCTCTAAGCTGTCAATCACATCTCCGTAACAAATTCAGTGTCCCTCAGGCCCTGAAGAGTTGAGTGGGAGGGTTTACATAGCAGCTTTTCCCGGAACACAGCACCCTTGGGTTCTGCTCCAGGGCTGGAGACACAGGGTAGCCCCAGGGAACTCGGGGCCTGGAGCCAAAAGGGTTGAGATGTGGAGCAGTTGGAAGTGTCTATGAGTGTGGAACAGGGCTCCCATCAAGACACACCACGCACTCCTTCCACTGACACCCCAGAGTTACCCCTCCTGCTAGGGGTAGGCTCATGCAACCATGGATGGAGCCTCATAGCGTAGGAAGGCATCCAGGAAAATTGTCCAGGGCCGCTATCTGTCTACAGCAGGAGGAAAAGGCTAAGTTTGATTAAGATGATAATAATAAATCAGTAAAGGGAAAGCTGTCTGTTCCCAGAATGGTGGCTGTTGACACAGGGGACTAGGGATTGCAAGGCTTTCCACAGATACAGAGACATGAATTATGCTTCCAAGTGCTGACAGCAAACATATTTGGCAGCGGTGTCATTAAGAGACCCTCACAAGCCTATCTGATTGAAGTTCTCACTGACCAAATGACTCCCGTTCTAACCCCTCCCCAGGGCAAAAGGACATCCTGGTCACACTATGACTCCCCCAGGCACCCTGAAGTTGGACACAGGGAAAGCAGAGGCTGGACAGCACATGGGTGTAGGCTTCCAGGCAGCTGCCCTCCTGTGCGGGGTCCCATTTTCCCTTTACTGCCCCTAGCACAACGAAGTTTGCTCAGCTAGACATAGGCAACGTTTGGGTGGGCTCAAAGCTGAGCAGGCCCTTCTTAGCTACAAAGACTGAAGAGTCCCAGTCCAGGCACCGGTCACACAGTACCCACAATGCCCATGAGAAACCCGAAGTGCTTGCCTCTGGGCCCAGAGACCAAAAGAGCAACACCTTGAACTCCTCTCCAGAGTCTCCTTCAGCATTAGTTTGGCCCTACCCTGCCTTCAGTAGATCCTTCAACCTCCCCAGCATTCCAGGAAACAAAGAAGTGAGCCCTTGGGGAGCCACATACTTCCCTCCTGACACTCTTCTGGCATGTGGCTTTTGTGTCCCCCACCTACAGCCAGATACCACTTCCCAAACTAATTTCCATTGTTCAGAAGGGGGCCAGGCAGCAGGACATAGTTGTGTGAACAAGGAGAACTGTGGCAAGATCTAGGGGGCCTCCGTGGTGCATGTCCCGAACCAGCCATTCTCCTAAGCGTGGGTCTGTCCCATGTAAGCCTCAGGCCCCAAGTCTGTTCTCACATTGCAGCTGGAGAAACTGGGGGAGTGCACAGAGAGGTGCAGCAACTTGCCCAGCGTCACCCAGCTCTGAGGTGCATGAAGAGTCAGGCTGCTGTGGGTACCCCAGTATGTCCCGCTGACACACCGGATCTGGCTGGTCTGTTCTTCGATGGCTTCCACAGCACTTTCCACGGAGCTGAGCAGCGACTGGATCTGATTGGCTGTTTCCTTCAGAAGGAAGCGGGTCACAAACTGGTCCACGTTGCTCCCACCTTCATACACCTGGGGGCATCGGGAGAGAACCTGAATGTGGGTTGGCAAGGGGGCTCGGGACACCACCTTGGGCTAATGTCTCTGCTTGGCACTGTGGGGCCCCGCCTCACCTCCTGCATTTTAGAGTCCGCAGAGTATACCAAGCAGGGTCCCCAGGTTCAGAGGCCAAAGTTGGGCCTCCCATTTCATTCCGATCACCTCTCCAAGCCCAGAGAGCAGTGGTGCCATCTTACATTGTATGCATCAGTGTAAGATACCGGGCACAGCGTATCACAGGGCAGACAGGAGACGCTAGCTGTGCTGTTAAAGGTGGTGGCAGTGTGACAGTGATAATAATGGTGACAGTGGTATTGGTGGACTGATGATGGCAATGATGATGGTGAAGACAGCGATGGAGTTGTTGGTGACGGTGATGACAATGATAACGGTGGTGATGATAGTGATGATGATGATGATGATGATGGGGTGGTGATGACGTTGATGACAGTTATGATGGTGATGGTGGGGGTGGGGATAGTGGTGATGGTGTTAATAATAGTGATGCTGATGGTGGTGGTGATGATAGTGATGGAGATGGTGATGGTGAGGGAGATGGTAATGTTGAGTTACTGGTGGTGGTGTTTCTATTGCTGCAGTAGACAGAAAGCACCAGGAGAGACGGCCTCGGGCCTCTACTCCCTTCTTCCTTCTATAAGAAAAAGTCTTTGAGCCCCTGAGTCTTCATTCTGCTGTACAGACAAATAACTGAAGAGAATCAATGTAGGCAAGAGAGTTAAATGGCTCCCAAGGAAATCCCCTCAGGAGTGAGGGGGCAAAAGCAGAGGGCGCAGAGAGGTGGGCAGGCACACATGGTGAGGAGAAAGCTCTGCAGAGAGGGGGTGAGAGGCTTGCCTGCAGACTCTGCCATAAGGTCTGTGGCAGTGCCTCTCCTGGGGAGACCAGATTCCTGCCTCTGCAGAAGGCTGCAGAGAAGGTGAGAAAAGCTTGGCTTTCTAGGGTCAGTGAGGGCTGGGATAGTTTCTAGACCTCAACCGAGACTTCCCCCTCTGGAGCCACCCCTCCCCCTCCACACTGGAACTCTGCCCAGACCCTGGCAAAGCAGGGGAAAACAAGGCTCTCAAGGAAAGCAAATTAAACTATCCATCACTCTGACTGGGAATTAATTAGCAATAATTACAGACTGGGAAACAAGGCTGGGAGACAGAAAGCCTGAGGAACAAGGCGTGGGGGGCAGCACTAGGGGGGTACAGGAATGTGGACGTTCTGTCCCAGGCCTGGCTCGGCGCCACTATGGGCAGACCCTGGTGGAATAGACATCTCAGCCTGAGGTACAAGCATCTCCTGGCTAACCAGATGCCACACACACACACACACACACACACACACACACACACACACACACGGCTTAGAGAGCAATGGACTCTTATACCAGAATCCCTCCAAATGAGCAAGCTGACAGAATGTGGTCAAACAAACAAACAAACAAAAACCCCAAACCCCCAGGGAAAAAAAATAAAAGCTTCTAGAAAGGCCCTGAACAGGCCTGGAGAAGTATGTTCACAGCAATCAGACTAGGGCATGACAAGGCAGTCAGTAACTGCAAAAGAGAGAAAAAAAAAAAAAGTGAATTCCAAAGATAGGCCACCTTCTGGGGGAGCCAGCATTTCTCCTCCACCAGGAGCCAAGAGAGCAGCTTCTCAGTGGAAGGGTCAGAAGGGCTGTTCTGCAGGCACCCTGTGACAAAGCTATTTGCAGGACAATGGGAGCCGTCCGGAGCCCCGCAGAGCATTTGCTAGGTGGCCCTGCAGACTGCGATGGAGGATCTCCCCTAACAACCAGGCCTGAGCCGTGGATCCCCCAAGAGGGAAGCTGTGTGAGCAGTGGCTTCAGAGGTAAAGAAGGAAACATGTTAGGCACTAACAGTTCACTTGTATTTATTCACATGTGTGATTATGTGTGTGTGTGCTTGATGCATGGAGGTCAGAGGACAACCTGTGGGAGTCTGTTCTCTCCCTCCACCACCATTGGACTTAGGTCTAAGGTTTTGTGGTAAGCTCATTGACCAGCTGAGCTGTCTCAATGACCAGATTAAGTTAATAAACTATTGAGACTATATCTTCCATCTCAGAATTCCCTCATCCCCAAAGTGAACAGGAAATGACTTTCAATGATCTAAGAATAAGATTGAAGATGTTTGCAGACATTTGTGTGTGTGTGTCTGTCTGTCTGTCTTTTGAGGCAGGGTCTCACTGTGTAGCCCTGACTGGCCTGCACTTGCTATGTAGACCAGGCTGGACTTAAACTCACAAACATCCACCTGCCTCTGCCTCCCAAATGCTGAGATTAAATGTGTATGTCACCACTCCTGGCTTCAGAAGCCATTAGTAAGATGAAAATAAAGATTTTTATCTTCCAAGTCATAATCAATGAAGCAGAACAGAGCATCAAAAAAAGAGCATAAAGGAAGTGAAGAAAGACCGAAACTGAGGAAGAACAAGAGCCATCAGCTGAGATGGAACGCTCATAATGAAGAAAGGCAGCCCCAGTCCCCCGGGTGCAGACACCATTCCGGAGCTGATTAAACAAGAGGCGGCCGGGGTGCACCCTATCAGAGCAGCAAAGGCTTTGCAGAGAGAAGCTGGAGCAGAAGGTTCTGCAATCACACTCAATCAGGCAGACAGGACCAGCTGCAAAGCCGCCAGGACGCTAGGGCTCAAATGAGAAAACACGACAAGAGATAAGGAGGCTGGGGACGGAATGTGCGGCCAGGCTGTTATTACATCTCTGGGATTGGAGCAGAGGCTGCCCTGAGCCTTGCTGACCTTGGTGACAGGGACCCAGCTGTTATATAAAAAAAGTAGGCTGAGTGTCAAGGGGCTTCAACTCATCACATCATTTTTTCTGTTTTGACACAAGGTCTCTGGCTGGCTTGGCCCTCACAGCAATCCTCCTGCCGGGGGAGTGGGTAGGATGGGCAGGTGTGTATCCCTACATTAAGCTTGTTTGTGTTCTTTTGAAGACTTTCTTTTGATTTTTCCAGGTGCCTGTGGAGGCCAGAAGAGAAGGGAGTTAGAAGAGGTTGTGAGCAGGGAACCAGAGGAACTCAGGTCCTCTGAAAGAGCAGCGAGCATTCGTGACCTCTGAGCCATCTCTCCAGCCTCTTGTTCATATTCTCTGGCCCAGTAACCCTCCAGTTCTGATAGTCGGCCCTTAAGAATAGAGTAAGGAGCGAACAGATCTATCTATATGCACTGGGTGACAGTCATAGTATGCTATGTATATACACGCAATGTGGATATACTTATAATGGCAAAATCTTAGAAATCAACTGATACGCCCAATCATAAATGAAAAATTAGTAAATTCAAGTAGGAACATTTAAAGCGACCCTCTGGGCCAGCTGTGGTAGCACTTATGTCAACTTCCCACAGGCTAGAGTCACCTGAGAGGAGGGACCCTCTAATGAGAAAATGCCTCCGTAAGATCAGGCTGCAGGCAAGCCTGTAGGGCATTTTCTTAATTAGTTATTGATGTGTGATGGCCTAGTCCATGGCAGGCTTTGCCACCCCTGGGATGCTGGTCCTGGGTTTTATAAATAATCAGACTGGGAATCACACGGGAAGAGAAGCAAGCCAGTAAGCAGCACTGTCCGTGGCTTCTGCATCAATTCTTGTTTCCTGGTTCCTACCCTGCTTGAGTTCCTGTCCTGACTTCCTCCAGTGATGAGCTATGATGTGGACGTGTGAGCCAAAGAAACCCTGTTCTCCCCACGTTGCTTTTGGCCATGGTGTTTCGTCATAGCAACAGTAACCCTAACTAGAACACACCTCTAATCCCAGTACTTGGAAGCAGAGGCAGGTGGATCTCTCGAAGTTCAAAACCATCTAGGGCTTTAAAATGAGACCCTGGCCTAGAAATATAAACAAACACATAAATAAATAGACACTCTTAAAAATTACAGAGAAAGTGTTAAAATATTAGGTAAAAGGCAGCAAATTAAACTTTTCAGACAGTATATTGAAAATATTGGGGCTGGAGAGATGGCTCTGTCGTTTTGAGTACCAGCTGCTTTCTGGTGATTCCCAGCACCCACTGGTTGGCTCACAATCCCCTGTAATTCTGGTTTCAGGGGATCTGACACCCTCTTCTGGCCTTTGAGGGCACTTAAAAATATTTTTTTTAGAAATTAAAAAAACTACACATTAAAAAATTGCAAGAATCATCCACCAAAACTTTCTCCATCGTCGAGGTTCTGGATGAATAGTAATCTGAACCTGGCACTTCAGAGTTTGTTTTCTGAACTTTGCTTTACTGAATACCTATTATTTGATATAATAAAAAAATACAATAAAAGTCTAAATGCAGCAAACAAAAGATAAAAATATGTAGAAGAAAAAACAATAGAAAAACAAGAATTAAACGAGAAGATACTAGGCAGTATAAAAAGTTAGCTTTCTGCTATCCCACAAGAAAGTTGAATTAGAAAATCAGAAACAGGGAAAAGGGCCAGCGAGGGGACTCAGCAGGTGAAGGCACCTGTGGTCAGTTCTGACACTCTGAGTTCAATCCCCAGGACCCATGGCTGTGGTACGAGAGCAGCACACACACACACACACACACACACACACACACACACACACACACAC